TCTTTCCCCTCTCAGTTTGACACTTCACCAGTTTGTCATCAATAAAGACATCGAATTCATGTGGTGTCCATATGCTCTAGGCCACAACTGATGCTTTGGCAATGGCAGAAGGAACAGCTCTGCAGTCCCAAGGGCTGCCCTTCCCTGTCAGAGTAAAGCAATGTTGATGGGCAGCACAGGGAAGCTTTGGTGCTGTACATAAACACACCAGGTCCTGGCATTACCCAGCGCTCTGGCACAACCTCTGCTTCTCCTCAAGCTAGTTTGGCTGCTCTGTGCTTAATGGTATGTCAGTTATGGATTCTCATTTGCTCCCAGGCCCCAGATGACACAACAGCTGCTCCAGTCTGGCCTTTTTCTTTTCCATTTTCATTTTCAGTATCAAAATCTTGGCATCTTTCTCTCACTTTCTGAGCACTGGGACTAATTTCTACTCTTTGCTCCCTTCATGCTGTGCTTGAGCTCTTTTCATCATCATACTAGGCAAAGATCACTCGCCTTCTGTATTACCACCAACTGAGAATCAAATATTGAAGTTACAGAAAAGTTCTTAATCTGTAATTCAAAATGCCTAAACCCACTTGAAACTGCAAGGCTGCTAGGAATACTTCCAGTCTCCTAATGAGTATTCCATAGTTGGCTTCTCTTCTTGATAGCATCCTGTAGGTTTTAATCTGATTCCTTGTTTGAATCATGGAAGAAATCCCGGGTTCTACTCAAGCAGATGACATTCATCATCATTTTAGCTGAACTGCAAAGAAACGGCAACGTAGCTCTGATCATCTTAAAATTCAGTGTCAGGGTACAGTCAAATAGGTACAAACACGTTTCCTTAATAGCATTTGACTACACTTTCCCTTTGATTTCCCTGCTGTGTGAATAAGCAGATTTGTAAACATGGAATCATGGAATGGTTTGTGTTGGAAGGGACCTTAAAACTCATCCAGTTCCAACCCCTGCCCCGGGCAGGGACACCTTCCACTAGAGCAGGTTGCTCCAAGCCCCTGTGTCCAACCTGGCCATGAACACTGCCAGGGATGGGGCAGCCACAGCTTGTCTGGGCACCCTGTGCCAGCGCCTCAGCACCCTCATGGGAAAGAGCTTCTGCTCAAGAGCTCATCTCACTGTCCCTTAAGACCAGCAGTGTTGGTGTGTTTGGTGTGTGAGTGCTTTCATGGCCTGTTGCTCCTGGCTGCCAGCTTGCTCGTGCTGCATCCCCAAGATAAGGGCTGGGACCTTCCTGGCACGCGGCCGAGCTGCAGCGTGTCTTTAGCACAAGTTCACTGCAGCCAGGGAGATGGGGCTCCTGGTGGGGGGCAAAGTGGGGGGATGTGTGAGAAACCCTGACTCGTGAAAGTGCATTCCCATCATGTGGCCAAGGAGCTCTTAACTGTACCAAATTATTTCAGCTGTAGCTGAAAGCAGAGATTTAATGAAGATACCAATTGAGGGCTGCTGGAATTTTTTGATGAATCAGTCCCAGCTGTTTCCACCATGTAGCAAAGCAGTTTCAGGCACCAAGAAGGAAATTGAGCTTTCAGAGATTGGAGCAGCCCAAGTGGAGCTGATGCTGCCTCAGGAAGCTGGGAGGAGAGCAGGAACAGAAGATCCAGATGGGAAAGACTTGCAGCAGATCATCTTCTCGACACAGAAATCTTGTCCTGATGGTAGTGAAATCTGGCAGTTGACCATTAGAAAGTGTAACCCGTTTCCTTGCATGCTGCAGCTTTCTGGTCTGCAAGTGGAAGCTTCTGAATCCCACTGGTTGCTAAATGAAAGGAACAACTAGGAGGCTGCAGCACAAAGCCGGGTAGGGCACAGCTCCTAAAGTCACCTGAACACTGAACGGGCTCTGCTCCCCTCAGGGTTTTTAGGAGGACGACACGTGGAGCTCCACATGATGTGAGCAGCACACAGCATTTTCCTCAATGCAGGATTTAGGTTGAGCAGTTTTGTTGAATCTGGCCTCATCAGCAATGGGTCCAGGAATAATAGAATCAGAGTGGTTTGTGTTGGAAGGGACCTTAAAGCTCCTCCAGTCCCAACCCCTGCCACGGGCAGGGCAACCTTCCACTAGAGCAGGTTGATCCAAGCCCCTGTGTCCAACCTGGCCTTGAACACTGACAGGGATGAGGCAGCCAATGCATCTCTTGGAACCC